TTGACAATTGTGAGAAAATTGAATTTTAGTATATTTCCATACTAATATTTCATATAACATATATCAATAATTAAGTGTTAAGCGTAATGAAAAGGACAATTATAATCGCTCACGAATATTAATTAACGTATAATTTATTCTATACTGTCAACAATAGCAGTATCGTCAAGTGTATGAAGCCAGTTAAAAATCATCATATTTCTCTCATATTTCGACAATTGATTTCCACGTTCCCTTTCAACATCTTTAATCGTTAAGGCATGGTTCCGTTCTTTTTGCCCTATTAGTGAAGGTCCGGTAATAGTAGTAGTTCCAGGTACCAACAATGTGGCTCCAGAAGTTGTTTGTGCAGCGGTTGCCACAGCTTCCAATTGATCTAAATTAAATTCACTTTGCGAAAGCCGCTCCAATGCACGATATGTCGTTAATAATCTGCACAGTACGAGTAATATGTATTTAATTTTTTTAAAGAGAAAATGTAAATTGAAATGGTACGTTTACTTATATACCGACCTTCGACGTATATAATTTTGTCGAACTTTTTTATTTACGGATCTAACAAAATCAGCTCCTGTGAAAGGTACTGGTTGAAGTTGTGCAGGAGTTGGTTGTTGAGCTGATTGGGAACAGGTAGACGTAGGATGTTGATTCTGTTGTTCTTGCGTGCCCCCATGAGGACTGGGAAGTTGCGATGTGTTGGCTACTGGTTCACCAACAGCAACCCATGTACTACAAGATCTTGATGCGTGATCAAGCCGCGCGTGTTCCAACAGCAGGGCGTTTTTTTGGGTAGTGTTCAATGCTAAAGTAGACACGGCCGATCGCAACCCACTCGGACCCAACGTATCTGGGCTTGGCAGTTGGGATACATCACTTGTGCTAAAGCTTTTGCGAAGACCAAGTGCAGAAGAAAGCACTCCGCAGCTACGAATTAATTCATTTTCTTCTTCGAACCACAGAATTTCTGGTATATCCGCTGGTCTGAGAAATCGAAATTAAACAAATATTTACATAAAATAAAGCTTCTCATAGACTTAATATGCAATTAAATAACACAAACCTGCTACTTTGAGCTTGGCGGGAATCTGGTTTCGGTGATGGACCCCGACCAGCGAGATGTACATCAGTGTATGATTTAAAAGTGACAAGTCTATTAACTGCTCGTAAGTCACTTGCAACTGAGGAGACGCTGAAGAGAGAAAGATCAGTCGTGACGCTCTCATGGCTCGGTGATCGTAACATTCGTGACGTAACTTGCAATGCTGGACACTGTGTCTCTGTCAAATTGTTACAGCATTGCGTAGAGGCAGCCGGCGGTACCGGTGATGCCGGTTTCGCTTGACTTTCAGACATGTCTTTTATTCCCGAATGACAGTTTCTTTTTTTAATTCTTATAGTTCTTTTTTAAAAAGTACCAAAACAGATTCACAACTTGTCATCATTAAGTAAATCGATTTAACGTTAATACAATTAATCTTTACATTAAGTCGCAAATCGAAGATTTTTATTAAAATTCATATTTCCTCTTCTTATAAAATTATTTATTCCTGTAAAATTATCCTTACTGATATTTTAATGGTGCAATTGCAACTTACATGCTTAATTTGATCACATACTATTTTTTGCTTATAAAATGATAAAAATTCATGGAATGAATGTATAAATATTTTTCAACAAGTTTGGTTTGCGTAAGATGTTAGTAATCATGTTCTTACGTCTACTTTTGTTCATAATTGTTATTATTTTTCCTTTTTACTCTTCCTATGCATAATCAAGAACTTTGTTTCTATTTTGAGTTCATTATTTCTATACTGGGTATTGCCGTATTGCTACTGTTTTCAGTAGAAAAGCATTTGTAAACGCTTCTTTTTATCGTCCTTCTTCCCTAATTTTTAATAAATCGAAGTAAACACTGTGAATCACGTGAACACCAAAGGAACAAGGTGGAAGTTCATAAACATGTACACTTGAGTGAAGCGAGAGAGAATCGAACAATGATTGCTTTCCTCCTGGACTATGGTCGGCGGTCAAGTCGAGGTCGCTCACTGCACAGGCGTCGATCGATAGGAACCAGAAAAGCCACCCTTACAGCCTACGGACTCAACCCAGGAACAGGCAGGATACACATGCATTTTTCTATTAAAGATAATCTATACGATACATTTT